GAGAAGGACGAGAGCCGCTGAGGGACGTCAGGGAGGCCAGCTCGGTGGCAGCCCCTGACTGGCCTCGGAGAGCCGAGCGAGGACGGGAGGCCACCAGGAAGCCTTACACCGGGAGGCTTAAGAAGCCTCTCGGAAGAAGGTCGCGGCCATGTGGTGTGGGGACGGCGTCGGTCCGGCTCCGGGGAGACCCGAGTTCAAGTCCTCCCCGGGGGCGGAGATGCTGGGCCGGTCCCCTTCTCTCAACCCAGCCTACCTCGCGGGGGGGTGGTCATGGGAGCAAAGGGAGCGTAATGTGCCCTGACTGGACTGAAGGAGAGGCAGTGCAGTCTCGTGCATCTGCAAATGGAAGAAATACGCGCTTCTGTTGCTTCAAGAAAACTACACGGACCTAAACTACGTGACTCAAAGAGGGCTTGGCTGAACAGAAGAGCTTTGTTAATTAGAGCAAAAGGTTAATTAGAGGGGTGCCTTCTGTAATGGCCGTGGGATGCTGCGGCGGAGGGCCCAGCTGCGCCCCTGAAGGCATGTCCTGCCTCTTGCCCATCTCCTGGCATCTGAAGCCCTGGGTGTATCTTGGCTTGTAGTTTTCGATGGACTTTTTCTCCTTGAATTTGTCTGATCCCGCTTTAGAGCCATCCAAACCCCTGGCGTTCAAAAGGGCCCAGGCTTTTTACCAAAGTAAACATGGTGATTTATTTTTTTTAAGTGTCACCTTGGCAAATTTATTGCAGCTGATCTCTGGGGCCAGAGCCCAGCCTGTCAATTGATCATTGCCAGGAGGGTTGACCTCTGTCTGCTTCTCTTGGGGTGGAATGGGCTCTTGTCCATGGAGACTGATGCTGCAATAAATTTGATGCAGTGGAATCTCATGCATTTTTCCTTTGTGTTCGGTTGGGTTTACTCTTGAGTAGGTAGCTGCTCCAAGAGTCCTGTTTTTTTCCTCTACAGGTCATAATGTAGGCCCTCCTCTTGGAATGCAATTCCCCACAATAATTCTGCTTTAATAAGTGAACCATTGGTGCACGTGTTAACTCCAAGTAATGTTCCTTCAAAGTGGGTATGCTTAACTACTCCTTGTGTAGCATATTACTCATATGGGGAGGCACTTGTGTAAACAAACTGTTGCCTTTAGGAATTCATCCTGGAGGAGGCAGCTTCAGTAATTCTGTGAACATCACAGGCCTTATTTCTGACAGAAAACACAACACAGCCTTGTGGCTTATGATGGAAAATCTTTTTTGCCCTTCGTAACTCAAATTAGCTTTCTCTGGTCCTTCTGTGATCTTTCATTGGATGGAAACAGGGTTATTAACAGATACGTTAGAAAGCCTTCTTTTGACAAAGATAGGTATGTTGATATATGGGGAAAAATAATTTGAAGAGAATAGGAATGGAAAGGGAGATTGAAGGATATTTTTCAACTTGTGAAAATTTATACTTTTTAAAAGAATCTTACAGTCTCAACATTTTGCTTAAAATAGGATCGTTAGAAGCTTTGTCTTAGGAGATTGTAGAAAGGAAGCTCGGTATCTACATTTTTGTGGCAAATGTCTCGAAAGGCAAATCTTTTTAATTACATAGATTTAGATTTCTGATCTGATTGCTTGTTTAAGGTTTAGAATTAGAGCTTTTATCTGCAAAGGGACAAAGATTTGCAATTACTTAATTGTGCTACCACAGCATGACAGGCAACTTTTTGAGAGCTACACAGTTTTTTAAAATAAGGGTTTCTGGCAGCTAAGACTGCAGTTGCAAGGCCATTGCATGTTAATGTCATGTAAATGGAAAAGACATTCATGGTTTGCGGGGAGGATATTTTGAGTGGTGTGTTAATGGTATCCAGACGCTTATGTGCCCTTTTCTTTGGAAAGGCAGTGGGAAATTTTGCCTCACAGATTTTGCAGTTTGCTGCAAATTTAAGTGTTTGGAAATTTGGGGGGGCTGCCCGTGGTAGGCTGCTGACTTTTGCACTACAGATTCAACATGTTATTAAAGGCCTCTAAATACTTATGCTTTATGAAGTTGCTTTTGATTGTGGCCTTGTTGCCATAATTTTATGCTCATCACCAGTGTGCAATGGCAGAATCAGCTTTTCTGTGCATTGTAGCAGAACTTTTCACACTTGGCCAGCATAATCTCTTGCTCATGTCAGGATTGTATAATCTTAACGCTTGATCTCATAGATATAAACAATTTATTGCTTAGTTATCCAGCATTGATTTAGGTATAGTAGTTTCTACCTTGAGTGAATACATAATCAAACAGTCATCTAGATGTAAATACAAATCAGAAGCACAAATATTTTTGCAGAAGTTCAAGGTCTGCACATTCTCCCTAGGATAGGGTGAGAGATCTGTCTCCTCCCTGTTTTTTTAACACAAGTGTAGATTCCCAGCATTGTCATTTTTATTTATTTGGGGGGGGGGAATAATTGGATTTTTGCATTCCTGCTAACAGTTTAATTACTGCAATGTATAGGAATATTGTAGTGCAGGGGGTAATGAAGTAGAATGAACCAAACTGAAATATTTCTTATATTGAATGAGACCTAAGGATGTGGTTGGGGAGAGTACTGTGTGAATGCCTTCCTGGTTTCTGTATCTGTAATTAAAAAGTTGCCTAGTGTGACCTTCCATGATGCTTGTATTACCTGCTGAGCATAGGCTGTGATGGACTATGAACCCAGTCCTCTAGTCCAGCTATAGAGAATGTGAATGAGTTTATAACTTTTGTTGATTTTAGTCACATTTTCTCTATGATGGGTGTAGTTTTCACAGATTGTGGAAGGGTTGATCAACTTTTTTGGACTGTTTCCAAAAGGGTAGCTGTGCTAATCTGTTTTAACAAAAGCAGCAAATTTCTTATGGCACAAAGACTGGCACCTATGTTGTAGCTATATACTCACTCTGATGAGCTGATTAATTAAACAAAACCCAAAGTTTCCTACATCTCTTAATCAGCAAGTATATGTCATACTCAACAACTATTTTGCTAATGATCATTACATATAGATCAGGGTTCCTCAATCTCAGCAACTTTAAGATGGGTGGACTTCAACTCCCAGAATTCCCCAGCCAGCATGGCTGGCTGGGGAA